GAACCCATGGCCTTGGTGTTTTCAGCACCGCACTCTACCGAGTGAGCCACGGGCCGGCCCTCCAGCAGAACTTTTCTAAAGCATAGTCTGTGTCCAAATTTTTACATAGATGGTTAAATAGAATCAAACTTTCTATTGTAATATATTCTACTTCCATTTCTTGGGTAATTTTGCATTCTGATTTTAGTATATGTGCTGCCGAAGCGAGCACTGCATTCTGATTTTATAAGGAGAATTTATTTTATAAGAGAATGAATGCCAAGACTCAAGAGATGTTAAGTGACTTGACATTAGCCATTCAGACAGAATCGGGGTGATTATCTTTCTTGATACCACCAGCAAAAGTTTCTATTTAGACCTAGAAAGCAAGAACTGCCCCCATTGGAAACCCTGGGGTAATTCACTATTGATATGAAATGAAAGTGTGTTAATATCTCCTTTGGTTACTTCTACAGGTGAGACAGGAGAAAAGGTGGAAACAGAGATGGAGAGTGAGAAAGTAAGTGAAGGGGCTGGAACAAAAGAAGAAGAAACAGGAGAAGCAGTGGATCTCTCAGCAGCTACACAGGAATGATGATAAATGGGAAGACAGACAGAATGCTGTAATAGGACAGAGAAATGGTAGTGAAGCTTTGCTTATGGATCTTATCTTCCTGCGTCTATGTGCTTTATATAACGAGTGTTGTTATAGACAGACTGTGTAACCATGAGAAGTATGTTGTCATATTCTTGATAACGTTGTTTCATGAAACTGCTAAGCTGAAAACAGCATTCTTAGCTCCTTAAAATAGTTACAAATTTAAAACTATAATAGCCAGAGCCGATAAAAAGTAGGATATCTTATCATTTAAGAGCATGAGGGTGACTTTCTTCACTGTGGCAATAGGTCTATTTAATATAGCAAATGAGACCCTAAAAAGAAAACCTTTAGGTACAGGTGGCTGAAGAAGGGATTTAGCAAATTTTAGGGAACTAATGATAATAAAGTCACAAATTATAATTATGATAGAATAAGAATGAATAACAACAACAAAGACAACAGGACGAACTGTACCTAGTATTTCTTTACCATCACAGAACTTAGAGCTGATAGGAACCTTAGAAAGTATGTCATCTACTTACCTTCTTACCTTCAAGTCTGTCTGCTACCACACACTTAAGCTCTGTTATCATGGTACATTAAATACGTTAGCAAAATCCCTTTCAAAGAAGTGCAAACTCTGGTGCTGTTGTAAGATTAGGCATTTTTCACAATGAAAGGCTACATGTTTTTAATGTGCCATTTTGAATCAGCTGTTGATTTTACACTCGTGAGGTTTTTCAACTGGTATTATCCTTTTGAATAACAGTAGAAACAATTTAAATTAATTGACTTTTAAATGTATTTCAGAGGCAACAAACAGCAAGGATTAAAACCTAGATTTGTTGCCTATGTGGAGTCTATTCCTGGGCTCTATTCTTTTTTAGATGACTGTGATTTAATATTAGCTTTTAGAGGTGGAAAGGAGCTAAGGAATCAAGATTTTAAAATCATTTATAATATTTCATTAGTGTGAAAATGATGCACCACAGGAAGTCACTTTATCAATTCTTCCAAAGTTGGCAAGGGATTTTGATAAATGATTGTATGTGAATAATAATGATGATAGTTAACTTGCCCACCATTGAGTGCCTTGTGTTTATCAGGATAGAATTCTGGAAACATTTGGCTTCTTTATCTTATTTGTAAATATATATTTCTAAGGTAACTGCTCAGATGAATTAACTAGACTCTTTCACTTTAGCTTCTACATTAAAATGATGACTAAATGACCTGTAATTAATCATAAGAATATAGGATACAGGGAAGAGTATATAATCTTTATTCTGATTTTAATATTAGTTTGTGCTTCTAACTTTAACCTGTTAAAGTAGACAGTAAGAGTTCCTTGAGTGGATAACATCATCCTTTCTGCAATTAAAGAAGCTGGATTATGATTTCATTGAGAGCAAGCACTGTGTTTTATCTATCTTTGAATTCAGACACTTAGTTCCTTTAATTGAACATGATAGGTACTCAATAAATATTTGTTAAATCAATAAATGAACAATAAATACCAAAGCTTCCCATTCACGCTTAATTCATTAAAAAAGAATACATTTAAAATATGAATTTGTATAATACTGCCCCAGTCCCACTTGAGAAATTGAGGAAAATCCATTTTAATGTCAAGACTGCTCAAGCTCAGTAAAAAGCTATATGTTTGGGGTAGTTCCAAAAACAGCAGTATTTTAGGTCAGAAAGTTATATAAGTCAGGATTGATATAACTTATCTTTCAAGCTATATTTTTTTTATCAAAAGTCTTTTTTCCTGACCAGGAGGTATTTTTATACTGATATCTAGTGAGTAGAAAATGTCAGGGCTTACTGCAAAATATGAATGATTGCCTTAATAAGTGGAATTATCCTTCGTATCAAGCACTGAAATAGGAAGATTAATTTAATTAATAGGCATAAAGGTTCTTTCTCTGTTGGATAGACTGTGTTTTTAAAAAAATCTTTAACATACGTTAGAGAGATCTAGTCAGAATTCATTCCTAAAGGAACTCTTTCTCAAAAAGCATTATATTGGTTCTAATGTAAAAATGATCCAAATTCTTTAATAATTTCTACATTTTCCATTAGTGACTCAAGTCATTTATTCTTTTTTTTTTTTTTTGTCCTTTTTGAGACCAGCTGCACCACGCTCAGCCAGTGAGTGCTGTGAGTGTACCAGACATCCCTATATAGGATCCGAACCCGCGGCGGGAGCACTGCTGTGCTCCCAGCACTGCACTCTCCCGAGTGCGCCACAGGCTCGGCCCTCAAGTCATTTATTCTCAAAAAATTTTAGAAATTTGTATAAATTTCTAGTACTTTCTTTTTTCTTTCTTTTTGAGACCGGCTGCACCGCGCTCAGCCAGTGAGCGCTGTGAGCGCACCAGTCATCCCTATATAGGATCCGAACCCGCGGCAGGAGTGCTGCTGCACTCCCAGCGCTGCACTCCTCCCGAGTGCGCCAAAGGCTCGGCCCGACTTTCTTTACTTTAGTCTTTTGCCTTTAATGTGGTTACTAAGACATTTTTAGAAATTTTGCTTTTTATTGTTTTAGATAATATTGTTTTAAAATTAAAAACCTATAATGAAAATAAAAATATTCCATAATATTTGAATATCCCCAAATATAAATATTTCATCTAAATAATCTGTAAATTGTTTTAACAAAATAAGAAANTATCATGGTACATTAAATACGTTAGCAAAATCCCTTTCAAAGAAGTGCAAACTCTGGTGCTATTGTAAGATTAGGCATTTTTCACAATGAAAGGCTACATGTTTTTAATGTGCCATTTTGAATCAGCTGTTGATTTTACACTCGTGAAGTTTTTCAACTGGTATTATCCTTTTGAATAACAGTAGAAACAATTTAAATTAATTGACTTTTAAATGTATTTCAGAGGCAACAAACAGCAAGGATTAAAACCTAGATTTGTTGCCTATGTGGAGTCTATTCCTGGGCTCTATTCTTTTTTAGATGACTGTGATTTAATATTAGCTTTTAGAGGTGGAAAGGAGCTAAGGAATCAAGATTTTAAAATCATTTATAATATTTCATTAGTGTGAAAATGATGCACCACAGGAAGTCACTTTATCAATTCTTCCAAAGTTGGCAAGGGATTTTGATAAATGATTGTATGTGAATAATAATGATGATAGTTAACTTGCCCACCATTGAGTGCCTTGTGTTTATCAGGATAGAATTCTGGAAACATTTGGCTTCTTTATCTTATTTGTAAATATATATTTCTAAGGTAACTGCTCAGATGAATTAACTAGACTCTTTCACTTTAGCTTCTACATTAAAATGATGACTAAATGACCTGTAATTAATCATAAGAATATAGGATACAGGGAAGAGTATATAATCTTTATTCTGATTTTAATATTAGTTTGTGCTTCTAACTTTAACCTGTTAAAGTAGACAGTAAGAGTTCCTTGAGTGGATAACATCATCCTTTCTGCAATTAAAGAAGCTGGATTATGATTTCATTGAGAGCAAGCACTGTGTTTTATCTATCTTTGAATTCAGACACTTAGTTCCTTTAATTGAACATGATAGGTACTCAATAAATATTTGTTAAATCAATAAATGAACAATAAATACCAAAGCTTCCCATTCACGCTTAATTCATTAAAAAAGAATACATTTAAAATATGAATTTGTATAATACTGCCCCAGTCCCACTTGAGAAATTGAGGAAAATCCATTTTAATGTCAAGACTGCTCAAGCTCAGTAAAAAGCTATATGTTTGGGGTAGTTCCAAAAACAGCAGTATTTTAGGTCAGAAAGTTATATAAGTCAGGATTGATATAACTTATCTTTCAAGCTATATTTTTTTTATCAAAAGTCTTTTTTCCTGACCAGGAGGTATTTTTATACTGATATCTAGTGAGTAGAAAATGTCAGGGCTTACTGCAAAATATGAATGATTGCCTTAATAAGTGGAATTATCCTTCGTATCAAGCACTGAAATAGGAAGATTAATTTAATTAATAGGCATAAAGGTTCTTTCTCTGTTGGATAGACTGTGTTTTTAAAAAAATCTTTAACATACATTAGAGAGATCTAGTCAGAATTCATTCCTAAAGGAACTCTTTCTCAAAAAGCATTATATTGGTTCTAATGTAAAAATGATCCAAATTCTTTAATAATTTCTACATTTTCCATTAGTGACTCAAGTCATTTATTCTTTTTTTTTTTTTTTGTCCTTTTTGAGACCAGCTGCACCACGCTCAGCCAGTGAGTGCTGTGAGCGTACCAGACATCCCTATATAGGATCCGAACCCGCGGCGGGAGCACTGCTGTGCTCCCAGCACTGCACTCTCCCGAGTGCGCCACAGGCTCGGCCCTCAAGTCATTTATTCTCAAAAAATTTTAGAAATTTGTATAAATTTCTAGTACTTTCTTTTTTCTTTCTTTTTGAGACCGGCTGCACCGCGCTCAGCCAGTGAGCGCTGTGAGCGCACCAGTCATCCCTATATAGGATCCGAACCCGCGGCGGGAGCACTGCTGTGCTCCCAGCACTGCACTCTCCCGAGTGCGCCACAGGCTCGGCCCTCAAGTCATTTATTCTCAAAAAATTTTAGAAATTTGTATAAATTTCTAGTACTTTCTTTTTTCTTTCTTTTTGAGACCGGCTGCACCGCGCTCAGCCAGTGAGCGCTGTGAGCGCACCAGTCATCCCTATATAGGATCCGAACCCGCGGCAGGAGTGCTGCTGCACTCCCAGCGCCGCACTCTCCCGAGTGCGCCAAAGGCTCGGCCCGACTTTCTTTACTTTAGTCTTTTGCCTTTAATGTGGTTACTAAGACATTTTTAGAAATTTTGCTTTTTATTGTTTTAGATAATATTGTTTTAAAATTAAAAACCTATAATGAAAATAAAAATATTCCATAATATTTGAATATCCCCAAATATAAATATTTCATCTAAATAATCTGTAAATTGTTTTAATTATTTGGCTTACGATTCTGGGACAGCTGCATCTGGCAT